GCAAAATCACACTGAAGTCCAAGTAGTCAAAGCAAGAGCAGATAGCACAATGGAACCAAGTAACCATCCATTTGAGAACGATACAGCAGAATCGTGAGTCGATGTCCAAGCCCAATCAGGCAACACCAACAGCATAACCCAATGTAGCTCTCTCTCTTGAATGGCGCTAGGCGCCATATCTACTCTACAACCTATCCCTACAACTACAACATGAAAGCAACCAGACAACTTGACGACCAACGAGTGATGACGTCAACACCAATGCCGACTTCCTCTCCACCAGGTACGTCTCTCTCTCTTCACCCTCACTCTCCCTTGTTATCCCACACAGCGCCCTTCACCTCCGAAGAACCACCTTCGCCCTTCACCTCCTCTGCGCCCACAGGCAGCCCGGCTATGGCCGCCAGCGCCCTGCGCCCAGGCTGCGCTCTACCGCTTAGCGCTAGCCTGCTTCTCTCAGCCACTGCGCAGCGCAAGTGCTAGCGCTACAATGCAGCAGCGTGCCCGCAATACCTGCATTGGCCAAGATCCCTGCCCACTCGCCCTCCCTGCCTATATGCCAGTTTTGCGTGTGGGCGGCCTCCCTTGAGCCTGCGACTGGGCCCCAGTACCTGTATCCAGGCCCAATGCGGTTGGGGCCCAGGAGATGCAGTTGCGCCTCTTTCATCAAGGCCTGCGTCCAGATTCAGATAGTGGACCGGTTTCCCATTGGCATTTTGGACCTCTATATCCAGCATGCATTGTCGGCCTCACGTTTATGTGCCCAGGGCCTAACCAATTTTGGGGCCCTGGGATTTCTGCATTTGCAGAGATCCGATACTCGGTGCACTCCAACCAACTGGCGTGCGGCAACTGTATGGACCCCACTTCGTGAAATGTTAGAACAAAGGGCTCTTGTTGATTTGCTGGCCCGCCTTCACTTAGGGTGGGCACGAGGCTTGCTGGGGGCCTTAGCCCAAAACATGTACATCACGGCAAGGCCCCTTTGAGGGCTCAATCCTCACATTCCATCCCCCTTAGCTTCGAAAGTCCGCTGAGATACTTACTTTGCAGGTGCGTTCCCTTTTAACATCCTCTCATATTCTGCCACCACTTGAGGAGCTGTGTCAATCAGTTCCTCTTTGGTGAACCACTGATCTTCTCTTAGATCCTTATGATGCCTGAATCTGATGCGATATTCTCTCTTGGGTTTGGGAGGTCTTCCTCTACCCAGTGGCTTTGGAACAGGCAGGTCTCTGTGATCCACAATGTCGTCGATGTCCACTTGGCCATCCATGGTTGGGGGCAGCATCGATCTCCTTGAAGGGAATTGATCTGTCTCAGCGAAAGGTGCAAGCTTTGAGGCGTGAAAGACAGGGTGAGTGCGCAAGTGACCAGGGATGCGGATAACATAGGTAGGACAATCCATCTCATCCCCAACTATGTCGAGGACTTCCCAAGGACCAAAATACTGAGGCATTAGTTTTCGAGAGATACCGAATTCTTGTCCTACCTCACTAGCCTTAACCCGAACACGTTCCCCTACCTGAAATGAGGACTGTCGACGATGTTTGTTCTCATAAGCAATCATTGCTTGCTGATCTTTCCTGATGTGCTCAACACCCTGGTGTAGCAACTTTTCATATTGCACACCATACTCAAGTGTGCCTGAAGTTGCAGAAGGTCGGTTTTCAGGTAGGAGGAAGTCCAGAGCTAATCTAGGCTTCCATCCCAAGTGTAGCTGATTGGAACTAACGCCGGTACTGTTGTGTAAAGCGTTGTTGTACATACTGGCGAAGAGAGGCAACTTCTCATCCCAGTCATCCTTGTTGGGCTTGATGTAATGCCTCAGCAGGTATTGTACAACTCTGTTCATCTGCTCGGCTTGTCCGTTGGCTTCGGGATGATTCCCTGAAGTCATCTGAAGTTGACTGCCCATCTGCTCAACAGTCTTCTTCCACAACTCACTTGTGAATCGGACATCTCTGTCACTAACGATTGACTTAGGTAGTCCAAAATCGCGCACCCAGTTGTCCATAAACAACTTGATGACGTGTTCAGTCCTTGCGGTCTCTGGCATGGCAATTAGTCTAGCGTACTTGGTGAATCGGTCTATGATGACAAAGATGTGCCTCTTGCCACTCCTACTGGTCACCAGGGTGTCCATGAAGTCCATAGAAACACTCTGTCCCGTACCAGCAGGGATAGGTAAGGGTTTCAACAACCCAAGCGGTGCTTGAGTTCGCGACTTATCCCTCTGACAGACCTGACAGGTCTCCACATACTTCTTTGCATCTTCTAGCATTCCGGGCCACCAAAATCGTTGTATTAGATTGACACTCGTCTTTTTGTAGCAAAAGTGTCTGGTTGCGTCATGACATTCTCCTAAGAATAAACTACACAAACGTTCACTAGATGGGACAACTAACCTTTTAAATCCGGCCTTATGTAGAAAGAGAAGCTCGTCCACCATCACAAACTCATCTTCTTTGGCCTTGTCTTTTGCCTGAAGTTTGCGTATGATATCCATCGTGACAGGATTTTCCTGATAGGCTTCCACCAGCGACTGAGTTAGTTCCTCACATACACCAAACTCAGAAACTAGCGCCCCTAGGTAGTCTGCCCTACGTGATAGCGCATCTGCAACCTTGTTGTACTCTCCCTTCAGATACTCTAGCTTGAAGTCATACTGATTTATGACCTCAATCCAGCGCTTGAGTGCATCAGAAAGAGTCGGTTGAGTCTTGATCCATTTAAGGGTCCGATGGTCAGTTCTCATATAGAAGAACCGTCCCAACAGGAAGTACCTCCAATGGACAAGTGCTTTGTAGAGACCATAGAGTTCCCTTTCATAGGTGGACTTTGCAAGTTTCTTTGATGACATCTTTTTGTTCATATACTCCATCGGTTTCAACTTCTTCCCATCCTGCTGAGCCAACACTGCACCAATGCCGTATTGGCTTGCGTCAGTGGTCACTATGAATGGCTTCTGAGGATCGGGCACCATGAGAACCTCAGGATTCATGAGTGCATGCTTCAATCGTTTGAAAGCAGCGTCGCACTCATCACTCCAATCCCACGGTGTCTCAAGTCGAGTTAGATCATTCAAAGGAGAGGCGGCTGTGGAATAGTTCTTCACGAAGTTCCTATAGTAGCCGCACATACATAAGAAAGATTTGACCTCAGTAACAGTCTGAGGTTGTGGCTTGTCCCTGATACTAGCCACCTTCGCATCTTCCGGCCTAATACCTTCCGCGGATACTTCATGACCCAAGTATAAGATCTTAGTGCATCCAAACTCACATTTCTCTAGGTTGACCTTATACTTGTGTTGTCGTAGGAGTGAAAGTACAATAACAGCGATTTCGTCAAAACGGACATTTTGTATTTTTTGAACGAAATTTAAATTGTCATTTCCGTGGTGATTTAGGGTCAAAAATGCATTTGAATTTGGGGTATGGGTATACATGCAAGGGTAAGGGGTAAGGGGTAAGGGGTAAGGGGTTTGGGGTAAGGGATAAGGGGCAGGAACTTGGAGCAATGGTTGTCATCTTCTATACACTGTTTCCATGACAAACAATTTAATGTTACCCACATCCATCCGCATGTAATCACAATATCCAGCAGCAGGTTCATAYTACTCGYGAGYCACTGTGTCCAAARCCATTCGACGACGTATTGCRRGTATGTCATCARCRGTGAAAGAGAAAGGCGGAAGGTGACCCCTTGCCAATAGCGATGCGTATGCGAGCATGAAGACCCCACACGAGCTAGTGTCACGTTGTTTCGGGACGTCCTCTACGGTCCATATGTGATTAAACGGTTTCGTGTCCACCTCTTTGCCTTGCTGAATCGATATTTTAAACAAAAACTTTGCAAATCCGCCGGTCACTTTGGCTGCCAGTTCTTTGTCGGGGCTGAGAGAGTCGTAAAATTCAAATTTCCTCCTCTTGAAGTCAGCCACAACGAGGGTCCAGTGGTTCGCGTATGCGATATGGAAAGGGGCAATTATCAAGTCCATGTCACTTATTATAATGTCATTCGACCAGCTGCATCTCTCGCTCTTGATATCTCATTTCGCTGTCGAAAAGTTTGGCGAAGAAAAACGAGCTCAGCACTGATATTCTAGGAATGTGACTCTTTCCAATTCTAATCACGGTTTCATTCTCGACGTCGCATTCTACGTGTGTGATTCTACATCAGTTGTCTAGTTCGATGAGGTTCGGGAAGAAGTTGACGACGTTGTCATTTAACCAGTTTCGCTCGTCCACTAGTAAAATAAATTCGTCTCGAGTTAGCTTCAATACTTCGTTCGTCCCATGATTGTGTGTGCTCGCTATTGGGAACCTTTTTCCGTACTCCCGTCATACATGTGAGAGTGCTTTCATCTCCTTCTCTGATAAAGACGATGTTGCGAGGCACATTATCCACCCTCTTTTGCACTTTCTTGTATCCGTTATTGTAATTTGCACTGCACACGACAAGCACGACGAATACAACATCGACGGCGGTGTAAAAACGGTGACCGAGGCGGACATGGGTGTAAAAAATGGTTGCCCTTACAGGAAAGTAAGAAACAGGTGGGCAGGCGGTGTAAAAAACGGGGAGGTTGACCATTTGAGATACTTGTACATGGGCAAGTGCCTTAGCATAACATGCTAAACGGAAATGATGTATTCAAGATACGTCATCAGTGTTTCGCTAAACTTACACTTAGATGAACGGCAACACTTCGGGACCAATCAATCCTGACTCCTGCCCCCTTTCATCATCGTACCCCAACGACATACATGCATATACACAACGCAGCATATTGACAAATATAGAGAGACGCACACGCATACTACGACACACTCTTGTTCACCACATAATTTTCTTGTCAACAATTAAAAGGTCAAATCCCGGAAATTGAACACTAATGAGTCTGCAGGTCGATTGTACACAGGAACAAATTCCGCCCACAAACCCTGATTTCAAACAAATGAGCACACACATGAAAACATTAAATTTCCCCGCGAAGAGGATTCCCCTCAAGTTCATTCCCTGTCTCACCCCTCATTTTCTGCACGCGTGAGATCGCTCACGCCCTTTCCGCCTTCTACCCCATCCTCATCGTCCGTCGTCATGTCCTCAATATTGCGAGAACGTGGAGACCCCCCTGCATTTCCCCCATTCCCGTCATCCCCTGTGACCCCTCCCTGTGGTGTTGTTGTACAGTGTGCGTCACCTTTGCTAGTGCATGTGGGCAGATGCAACGACATCCCCGTGACGCCCATCCCAGCAGTGGACTCTGACACCATCTCCGATGTGCCTGTCAGCGCCGCACCTGTCGCGAGGAGACTCCCGTATGTGGCGCCCGCATCCGTCGGCTTGTTGAGTGACACTTTTTCACCTTGTGATGTATCCCCTGTTGCGACAGAGATGGCTCCGATGGTGTTTTTGTCTGCGGGCGTGTTCCCCGCCTGTGGCAACGAAGGCTTCACGCCCAACATCGTCCCGCCATCTTCCCTTTGTTCACCCATCGTGTTCTCTGTGGCCGCCTCGGGCGCAGGGGCGGCATCTTCTCCCATGCTCTCGAGCGTGGCGGCGCGCTCAACCTTCCAGTCAATTTAGCCGTACGAGGGGCTCAACTGCAGCTCGTAAAACTTGTGTGAGTACTCTAACTGCCGAGTGGCTCCCAAGACGTCGAAAAATTGTTTCGCCTTTGCCGCGATGGATGTTTCACTCTCCCTGGGGTTCTCTTTCTGACAGCGGTATAGTATTGATTGCTCCGTTGTCTTCAGCCAACTGTCCTTTCACATGCGGGCAAACTGTCTCCAACCCTTCGAGACATACTTCACCGCCATTTTCCACTCCCCGCCTTGGATACATGGCTCGAAAATGCCGTCATGCCAAATGATATCATGGCCCCACTTGTCCTCACTAGTGCAAGAGTATTTTTCATCCAAGAAATACACATTGTTTGGATCCGCACAAAATTTGGGAGGAATCGGATCGCCTGGCGCCAGCTTCATTGGCTGAGCAGGAATATCAAGGTCATCGTCTTCGTCGTCTTCCACAGGCGTACATACAACCCGGTCCACACCCGAGGCCACAATGTTCGTGGGTGGCAGGTTTGAGCATCCCTCTGATTGACCCGGTTCATATCCCTTGACGCTGTGCTCCATGGCAGCAGACTTCCCACACCACCCGGTTGCATTGGTGTCCTTTTCGATCTCGAGGTCGGAGTCCGACGAGTCTTCCTCGATGTCAACAGGGTTAAAGCCTTCACCCGATTTAGCGATGTCTTCATAGTCCTTAAACGTCAGTTTATCTTTGTGAAGATCAAACCTCAAGATCTCGCATCGAGCAACGAATGTCTCGAAGGCGCCAGTTAGAGCACCGTGATAATATTTGAGGGTCTCGGTCACCTTGGCTTTCCTATATATGTATCCCCCATCAAGGCGTCCATCCGGCGCATCGCGGAACAGGTATTCCCACACCTTCAGTCTTTTCGGTCCCAACTTGTGGTACATATCTCTGTTAGTGCGATGTGTGGCACGCGGCTTCTCGAGGCGGCACTCGAATCTCCCATCCTTAACAAGTATGTCGACGAACTTTGTCAAGTATGCAATGTCCTTGGCCGACTTGTCATAGGCAATGGCATTATTACCTGCAAGCAAGAACTTTCATACAAGACCCGCGTGCGCCCTACCCAGCAAAAGCACACCTTCCGCCTCTCCCACGAATGAACTGCACAACTTCCGCAACTTGCCAGGTTCTCGCTCCCAAATTGAGTATGCGGCACTTTCGTCGCCTTCGACGCCACCGTGTTTTCCGAGACACTTCCCAAACTTTTCCTCCACAACATGCACTTCGGTGAGATCGTTGTGAAGTCGGGGTGCGACAATTACTTTTTTCAAATCCCCTCCTTCAACGTGCAACACGATCGCCATCAGGTCCCGACTGCTCGTAGCGATGTTGTCGTACCTTGTGACGTCGCTCGGCGGCCTGTCCACGCGTTTACATGACCCGGGGATGAGCTCGATGTCCTCCCAACGGTACAATTGACGCAAGACATCACTTTGCACATTTTGCGATGCAAAGAAGAAGAGGACCCAATTTGGACCACAACACTTCACCATCATTGCGTATAGTGCATCGAAGTCCTGCGACGTCCATGCCCTGCTGAAATTTGCGGCCGAGATGTCCACGATGGCGGCCCTGCATGCCATTTTTTGTGCGGCTGCGACGATGTCGACGGACGCCGCCATAACCTCCTTTGACCGCATGCATACATGAAGCAATGTGGTCTGCCTGCCGAGTTTGTCCCACACAAGATGGCGTGCACTGGAGGAGATCCGTTTCACCTCCGCTCGGAGCATATCAAGCTTATCGATTGTGGTGTATATAAAGACCTTGAAGTGAAACGGAGCCTCCTTGTACATCACTTCTGTAGGCCCCAAGCCCGCACCTTGTCTCACCTCCTCCACTCCTCCGGGTCGCCAAGGGATCGTCTTCACTAAGTTGCTATGCAACTTCTCCTGTTGCTTCTCCCATTCATCTACGCATAACCCGTTTGAAGCATACCTCTCTTCCAGGTCCTTGTACGACATGAAGAAGTCGTCATTCCATTTGTCCCCTGCCCTTCCCTCGGCGTGAAACACGACGTAGTTGAACATGCGGACCATGTATCTCTCCTTGCGCATAATGTCGAGGAGACACAATGTGTTCACCCTCGGAGGCGTGACTCTCACTTTTGTTGCCACCACTTTCCCTGACATGAGCAGGAGTAGCGCGACTTCTCTCTCGCGGCATGTCATGTCCCCGAAGTTCTTGAAGTACGTAGTACACAAATCCTTCCAGGACACGGTGGAGCCCTTGGGACCATCTCTCGCATATATGCAGTGGTACAAAGTCCATTGTCCCTTGTTCTCGTCGGTGTACGGGCCAGGCAGGCGCCCCTCCATCCTCCCCGGCATCTCAAGTGAGATCTTGTCGTCGCCGATTGGCAGCTTACCCTCCTCGAACATAGCGAAGAACTTCTCCACCAGCCGCCAAACCGTGCGGGTGGACTTGGTGAGGTTCAGGTACCCCCGAAGTTTGTTACTCCAATCCTTGGTGTATTCGTTGTCGAGTGCCTGTTTCACGAACGCCATGTCGCACGCCTTCCCCATGCAGACCCTCAGGAAGTTCTGCCACGTTTTCTGATGCGCAACGGTGACGACATCCTTTTTGCTGACCTTAGCATTGAGTGCCTCAATCCTATTGTTGACGATCCACCATTGCCGCATATCACGCACAGCGTCCTAGAAGGATAACATCATGGCGCGATTCTCCCGTGTGTTGTGGAAGAGGGAGACATTGAAGTACCCGCGTGTGTGGTCATCATCGAAAAAAACGACTCGCACTTTAGAGTACGTGCGGAGGCCGTAGATTTTGACCGCGGGGGTGTCCTTTGCAACCAACCGTTTCATGGCCTCGGCAGTATGCTGACCGCAGACAGCGTAGCAGTCGAACTCTGCAGAATCTCTTTGGAAGAACTCGTCCAGCGTGATTCGCCTGCCCTGCCCGCCGACGATGACGGTTGGGTCAACCGGCGCAAGAACGAGCTCAGGTCTATCCCACACCCCCGGGTCAGCACTGATGGAGCTTTCTATGACACTCTCGATGCCTCTCACAATGTTTGAACGGTGGTTAAAAAGGATCTTCCCACGGGGAATGGGTTTGATCCTATTAACGTCGATGTTAACAACTTGGACGTCTTGCCTGGCGAAGCCCTGTTCGTCGTATTCGAGGAAGAAACATCGTGTCGTGTCCACGGGCGCGGCGTGCTGAACCAACTCTTCAATGTCTTCGGGCATGCGAGGCCCCACCCCCTCGCCCTCATCCCCCGAGTCCCGCAGCTCAGGTGCCCTGGACCTCTGGGAGCCTTTCCTACCGCCGCCGCGACCGCCCCCACGGCTGCCACTTCGTCCCCCCCCACCAGTTTTCCGAGGAGCCCGCGCTTCTTGTGATGTCATTAACGCTCCGCGAGCTTCATTGACGGCGTCGGCCCTCGCCTGTTTTGTTCGACTCGCAGGAGAGGTCGACACCTCTCCCCTCTTTCGCTTTCCCTGTGAGCCAGGTTCGTCTCTCTCATCCTTCGTCTCGTCATAGGACTGCGACATTCCGAGGGAGGCTGCAGGCTGGCCACCAGCATCGACTGCGTCACCGACGCGGCAGGCGTCGTCCTCACGGCGCCCCTGCGATTCGTTATGGTGGCGACGGTGAAATTGGGAGAAGCGATTGTCTTCGACTTCCTCACCAACATCGTCTCTTTCCTCGTACATGCCATCGTCCTCACCTTCAACATCTCCTTCGTTACCGGCGTCCCCCTCACCACCGCCCTCCTCCTCCTCACCACCGCCCTCCCCCTCCTCACCACCGCCCTCCCCTTTCCAACCACCGCCTTCCCAACTTGGCCCTCGCATTCCTCGTCATCGAAGGCACCTGCACCTCCCCGGGAACGATGTCGGGGACCAGCCCGATAGCGCACAGCTCCGTCGTCATAGTCTGTGGCCTCGCTGGACTGCTCGGCCACATCGCGACCTTGCCGATCCGAGGGCGGAACCGGAGCGGGCAGAGCCTGGACAACCGCAACCGACGAAGACGGGGCAGTCGGCAATTGCTTCCTCTTTCCACCCGCTCTGGCCGGCTGATCCTCGCGCCGTTTGGGCCCCGCAACTGACGAAGACAGGGCGTCAATCGGCACGAAAACACGGTCAACTTGCTGGGCAGCAGGCAGCCTAGCGAACTCTTCCCTGTATCGCATAACGAAAGATGTGAGTTGGTCCGTCGGGCTGTTGAATTGGACCAAAGGTCTGCTGAGCATGAAAGCGCTGTCGACGATAGGCAGGGAACCAGTCACGCTGTAGCTATTGGTTTTGGAAAGAAACTTTTCCGGATCCAACATTTGAAACTCCATTCCGTTCCCTCGCACGTCAAACGCTTTCATCGACAAAGCCTTGACCCCGTATCCTAGGAAGAGCCGATGGTCAAGAGACACCTTCTTGTCTTCCTTGACCCAGTTTTTCCCCTCTCGGTCATAGACATACATAAGGAAGAAGGTGCTGAACTTCTTACCATTGTAGGTAAACCTCCCCGCTTCCGATTTCTCCAACCCTCCGCAGCAGTACCAACTCAGGCCATTATCATCGCCCCTCGATGGCCACAGCACCAAGGGGGTCCGGCGTTCCCGGAACGCCAGACCCCGTTTGAGCTAAGGGGGATGAAGCGGGTCCGTCCCATCCCCTCGATGGCCACAACGTCAAGGGGGTCCGGCGTTCCCGGAACGCTGGACCCCCACCCTGGCGCTGTGGGGGAGGAAGGGGGTCCGTCCCATCTTCCCCTCGATGGCCACAGCACCAAGGGCGTCCGGCGTTCCGGGAACGCCGGACCTCGGTTGCGCTGCGGGGGATAAAGGGGGTCCGTCCGATTCCCTCGATGGCCACAACACCAAGGGGGTCCGGCGTTCCCAGAACGCTGGACCCCCCCAGTGCTGCGGGGGAGTAAGGGGGTCCGTCCC